CACTATTACTCGTTCATTTTTAAAAAAAAATTAATAAGTTCGTAATGTTTACTTTTACACGCACATTGTTTTATAATATTTTATTGCTCTTATTAAGTAACGGTGTTAGTCTATCATTTTCGAACACTTTCATCATTTTACTTTTTAAATCCCTCTAATTTCCAAATCGCTTAATGTATCACTCCGTCCATCCTCAAATCATTACCTCCATCCCTTGCGAATCTATTAAATAACAGACAGTTAGTCCTCAAAGTCACTCAATGTGGCGAACCTCTTCTAAAATAGCACCTTAGAGAAATACCACTGGAAATAGCACAGGGCAAAGGAAGGGAAAAACAGGTTAGCCGGCGCAGTTCCGGGGAAAACAAGCCCGCAACGCCAGGTGCCTTCCGCCTTGGGCCTATGAGTTTGCAAGCCGACACACCTCCAGCGCCTCCGGCCACCGCCAACAAGGCCAAGTATCCTTCGGACCCTTCTGACATCTCATCATCATCCTGCACCTCCAACTTTTTCAAAACTTTATTTTTAACTTTAATAAATATTTTTTATTTTCTTTTCTTTTTTATTAAAAACAATCTTCACTACCTTAATAATAATTTAATTTAATTTATTTTAAAATTTAAATATTATTTAAAATAATTTTGTATTTTAATAATTATTAAAATATAATTTATATTATAATAATAGTTATATTAAAAACATAAAAATAAAATAATAAAAATAGTAATAATAATAAAAATAAATTTGATTTAATATATTCAAATATATTAAATTATAATAAAATATTAAAATAAATTAAATAATTATTAAATTTTAAATAAAAATAAAAATTTTAAAAAGTTTATTTATATATTAAAATCTATAAAATATGTTAATACTTTGCTTTTTATTTAAAATTTAATAAATATTAAACTTAAATAAAAATTATAATATTATTTATTATATTTTTATATTTTAATAATTAATAAAATATAATTTATATTTTTAAAATAGTTCTATTAAGAAAATTAAAAAATAATAACTAAAATAAGAATAAAAATAAAAATAAAAACAATAATTAAAATCATATTTAATATATTTAAATATATTATATTATATTAAAATATTAAATTTAATTTAATAATTATTAAAATTTTAAAGAAACAAAATTTTGAAAATTTGTTAATCGGATATAGATATCGGATAAGTTATAAATCGGATAAAATTTTATTTTATATATAAATTTTAATAATTATTTAATTTAATTTAATATTTTAATATAATTTAGTATATTTAAATATTTTATTTAATATAATTTTATTTATTATTTAATAAATAACTTGTTTCAAAATTTTGTTTATTATTTAAGTTTTAATAATTATTTAATTTAATTTAATATTTTAATATAATTTAATATATTTGAATATATTAAATATTTTATTTAATATAATTTACTTTTTTGTTATTTTTATTTTTAATTATTTTATTTTTTATATTTTTAATATAATTATTATTATAATATAAATCATATTTTAATAATTATTAAAATATAAAATTATATTAAATAATATTTGAATTTTAAATTTAGTTATTATTAAGTTGATATAGAATCTTTTTAATAAGAAAAAGAAAAAAATAAGAATATATTTATTAAAATTAAAAATAAAATTTTCTGTAAAGTTAAAGATGTAGGATAATGATGAAATATCAGAAGGTTAAAAGTGAAATTTTTGGAGGTGCAGGATGAGATCTTAGAGGTGTAGGATGAAACACTCAAGAAAGAAAACAAAATTCAATATTTACACGTTTCGTAAAACATGAAAGACGGGTTTAGACGGAAAAGAAAGGCCCAGACTTTTCTAGAACCAAACAGCTAAATATTAAAACATTAAATTAAATTCGTCTACGAAGCACACCGACCAAGAACAATAAAAGGGAAAACAAACAGCAATGGTTATTCAAAATTCAGTTTTTGATTCGATTTGATTCTTTCACAAATTGGAACTCCTTTTCTTAATCAGCACCAACATCACATAGAGAGAGATGGATTTCGAGCTGAGGAGAGCGAGAGAAAAGTTAGAGAAAGAGCAGAGGGAGAGGAAAGAAAGAGCAAGATTGAAAGTGCTGAAGGAAAGAAAGGCCAAAGAAGAGGCCCAGAAGCAAAAGGAAGCCCTTGAAGCTGTTCAAAGATCTCGTCGTATTGATGCGGTACAAGCACAACTCAAGGTATCCACACCCTTTTCACCCCTTTCATTAGTATCAAACCCTTTCGTTCTTCTTCAATATGTTCTTTTTCAAAGGGTAATCTTGTTATTGGGTCCTTCTCTGTGTTAAATTGTTGAGAATTAGAGATGTAATACTGTGGATTGTTCTTTAGAGATATTAACTTTGAAGCAAAAGTAGGTAGGGTTGGACAATCTGACACGTGAAATTGATGGCACGTATTCCAGCCCTTTTGCCATCTCCAGATTTTGCATTTTTGTTTTTTGTTTTTGGCTGTTCAGTATTTTACGTCTACCTTTTGCTAGTAACAGGCCTTGTCATTTGTCAGATCATGCCCTAGGATGATTATCTCACTCCATAAATTAATCCTTCAGTTGGTCCTTGTAGTTTAAGAGCGAGGGTAGTCCAATTTCCACTTACAATGCTTCTTTTTTTTTTCTTTTTATTTATGTCTATTACCATTGATTTTATGCTCCCTGATTTTCTACCTTTGCGTTAATGATGAATCATTTTTATGCCTTTTACGACATATGGCTGTTAAAACGCTTTCTTTAATACTTGTACAAAAATATGATTCAACAATTATGTTCATTGAAAAGTTCAAATTGAGTGGAGTATTCAGAGTAGTCCATGCTGGATTTTTCTATACTCCTTGCTGGGTGAAGTACCGGAATGTTTTGTGATGTGTTATGGTAGTGTGATTGTCAAACCTTCAATAGTGGTATATTAAAAAGAGCTAGTTGGTGCGAACAACCGTTCACACCAAAGTTTGAGCTGTTAGCTGATGGCCTAGAAAGAGTTTAATCTCTAACATGGCCCTTTAAGGAGTAGGCTTTTGAGGGGCTCAACTAGTGAAAGTAATCTTGCTAATATACGTATACAAATGTTTACCTTATCTTCCGGCACAAAATTTGTGGCTGCAAATACTTCCTTTATGTTTACATTGTTAGTGCGGAAATACTAAGTGGTTCCCTTCTCAATTCAGGCTGACCAACAGATGCAAGAAAACCTACTTGCTGGCAGAGGAATAGTATTTTATCGACTACTAGAGGCTGTACCCTATCAAGGCGGTGGAGATAAGATCAAGCTTCCCCCTTCTTGCTTCACCGAACTGTCTGATCAGGGCGCTTTTGATAAGGGACCCTTATACTTTCAATTGTCATTAGTTCATGAAAGCTCTTCAAGCATCCAAGATATTGATAAAGAGAAACAAGGGACCACCCATTCAGGAGTTTTAGAATTCACTGCTGATGAAGGTTCGGTGGGACTTCCTCCTCATGTTTGGAATAATTTATTTTCCGAAGGCACACCAGAATCTCCATTAGTTGAAATCCGCTATGTTTGGCTTCCAAAAGGGACATATGCAAAACTTCAACCTGAAAGAGTAGGATTTTCTGACTTGCCAAATCATAAGGCTATACTTGAAACTTCTCTTCGGCAGCATGCTACCCTTTCTCAAGGTGACATTCTAACTGTAAACTATGGAGAACTTGCATACAAATTAAGGGTCCTGGAGTTAAAACCTTCTTCAAGTGTATCTGTTTTAGAAACAGATATTGAAGTTGACATAGTTGATCCTGATACCTCTTCAGAAAAGACAGATGAGCATGTTTTAATGCCACTTTCATTCGGAATGTCACAAATTGGAACAGTAGAAGAAGGAAAGTTTGTGTATTATAAATTTTCTATAGACAATAATGTCATATGGGAGAAACTATCTTCTGGGAATTCTTGTATTGAGGTAAAACTAGAATCAGAGACTGGCGGAGGGGACACTGATCTTTTTATCTCTAAACATCCTCTCATATTCCCTACACGACATCAGCATGAGTGGTCATCTCATGATATTGGCTCAAAGACTTTGATTCTTAGCTCTAAAGATGAAAGCTTGAGTGTGGGAACCTACAGCATTGGTATCTATGGCTTCAAGGGAGTGACTAAGTATAAAATATCAGTAGTGGTCCAGGAGAACTTCAACCAAAAGGTTGGTCAGCAAGCATCATCTTCTGTGTCATCTATGGAAATGGATACTGAACAATGTAGGAACTGCAATCATTATATACCCACTAGGACTATTGCACTGCATGAAGCCTACTGTAGGAGGCACATTGTTGTATGTCAGCGTGCAGGCTGTGGAGTTGTTCTTAGGATTGAAGAGTTCAATAACCACGTTCACTGTGACAGATGTGGTCAGGCATTCCAGCAGGTAGAATTAGAAAAGCACATGAAAGTTTTTCATGAGCCACTTCACTGCCCGTGTGGAATAACCCTCGAGAAAGAGCAAATGGTAAGCTGCACATCACCTTCTTTCTCTTTTCAATGTTCTTTTCTTCTTTTTGTCTCTATATCTGTGATTCATTATTTACTGTGTCATGTTGATGCTATTATCTTGATACTATTATGTCTATCCAAATTGATATCTTTCTGAGATAGCTGAGTTTAATTTGGAGAATTAATCTTTGAAGTATGGAATTATACTTGTTTTTTTGAAGGTTATGTAACTGGCATGTTGGATCCTTCTAGAAGTTCCGAGTGTAGTGTTGGGAGTTGAGTTAAGCCATTTCTAAGTGTCTTGAAATTTTGCTTACAAGTGACTATTCAAATAATTAGTTTTTCCGTCAAACCGTTTGATCCTTGTATCCAGCTAAGCACATAATTTTCTCTTTCCAATTTTTACGACTTCCTTTGTCCATGTTAAGCAATGAATAGTATGCCTCCTCTGTCCGTATTTATTGCTACGGTAGACAATTATAAGCATTTTATTGACGGACTATCATGTGAATATTTATGGGACTTCAAATTTTGAAAAGGTGAGAAGCTAAACTGTGATATTTGGCATGATGCCTGGTACACACATCCCTACTTTCCATTTTTATTCCAGATGATAGGAATCTCAAATTTTCTCATATCTTCTTAGTAAGAAATGTCCTGTTTTAGTTTCCAGAACTTTCGGAGAGTAGGGTTTACTGCCTATCAACAACATTTGGAGAGGTTTAAGGAGATGGATGTATTTCAAACGAGCATGTTTGGCCTTCCCGTTTGAGAAATTGGAAATAATTCTTGAAATGTGTATCTTCTTAATTTCTTAATCTTAAGTGATTTCTTAGTCTTAAGGAGTGCAGGGATCCTGAAGTTTGTCTTTCGTTGTCAATTTGTATAAAAAATGACTAAGTTTTCCTTGTACTAGGTGGAACATCAAGCTTCTGTTTGCCCCCTGCGTCTTATTACATGCCGGTTTTGTGGTGATATGGTTCAAGCTGGGAATTCTGCCATGGATGTCCGTGATAGATTAAGAGGTTTGTCAGAGCATGAGAGTGTTTGCGGTTCCAGGACTGCCCCCTGTGATTCTTGTGGGCGTTCCGTGATGTTGAAGGACATGGACATTCACCAAATTGCTGTTCATCAAAAAGGCTAATTCTCATATTTCATCATGACAGCAACTTGTGAAGGATTGCATCTACGTAATAAATAGACATTAAAAGAAACAGAAGAAAAATTAAAGAACAAGAAAACTGGTAGATGGCGGAGCAGAAACATCCCTATGTTATACAATGGGCAACCGGTTGCGGATATATTCAACTGTCGCAGTTCTTGTTATTCATTATGTAGGAAATTATGATTATGAATCACTTCTCTTTCTTTGTGGAAATTGTTTGATGCAGTATGTTCACATTACAATTTTTTGTGCAGAAGTAAAATTTGCAATTCTTTATAAATATTTGGTTAAAGAAATCACTTGTAAGTTTGAAAGACTTGAAACAACTCAGGTGAACGGTTGTCTCATGATAGTGAATTTGCATTTTAAGAAATCAAATATCAAAAGTACTAATCTAGGAATGTTATTCTAATATACATCTTTAGTTGATATTTAATCACGCTAAAATAAAGTTCATTTTTTAATTAAAATTTGAAAATAAAAGTGAAAAGGAAAATCAGAAGAATGTAATGAGAGCGGATAATTATAATTGGCAGTAAATTTATTTCTGTGAAAGTACGAGATGCTTATTCTCTCATAATATAAACTATTTAAAATGTGAGCATCAATTTATGCAGTACACATTACTCGTATTTTACCTTTCCACTCTCTTTCTTTTCCTTTCTTTTATTTTTCACCCACCCTTTAATCCAAATAAATATACAATTTTAAAAAAAATGAAAAAGATAGAGATTAAAAGGAAAAGTAATATCTAAATATTTTATTTACTTTCGCTCTTTATATATATGTTTTTGTTTCTATATAGTTGGATGGAAGTTAATGTGAAAGAAAAGTAATCAACCTTTTGCTGTTGTTTTATGTATTTGTCCGTTTACTTTCTCATTTTTTAACAATTACTTTCACATTACATGTCTGAGTTAACATGAAATAATAGTTATTAATGAAAATAATGTTATAGTTGCTTTCAATTAAACTATTAATTATTTGCCATAAAAATTATTTAAATTTTGCTCACAGTAGTGTAATGGCTTGTTCTGTCTGTCTTACATCACAAAGTAGAAAGAAAAGGACAAAGAGAAAACAATAAATCTGATAAATACAAAGCATAGAAATATTTAGGTTTAATCCTTTTCGACATCCCTATTTATGTAAGAATGTCTCAATTGGGTCCTTGTTTTTTAAAGTGTATCAAAATGGTCCTTAATTTTGAAAATTGATATCAATTGAAGTCCTTTCTGTTAAGCTGTGGCTGGACGGCGTTAAAAAAATTGATGAGTGGATGCTGAGATGACGAACGAACGCTCGTCCACCAGCGAACGAACGCTCGTCCATCAGCGAACGAACGCTCGTCGACCACCGAACGAACGGTATTCCAGTGTGGAACGAACGGTCGTCCAGCAGTAAGAGGTCGACGAGCGTTCGTTCTTTGGTGGACGAGCGTTCGTT